ACATAACTCCATGGAAACACATGTTCTAAAAGTCTTTCAAGTCACACTGAACTTAAGATTTTAACATCACAGTAAATAAAATGAATGATGGCTAAAATGAAGAGATTTTGTATTTTAAAGTTATACTACAGATACTTCTATTGTGCAATTTAGATTTTACAAATCCATCAAACCTTAAAACAACAAAAGAACGCCTTCTAAAATCAAGGAATATCATTTCAAACAACTGCGCCATGGCACACGTCTGCTTAAAAATTTGGCAGGTTTTTATTTCAGGATTACTCCTGAAAAATAAAGTTAGTCCTCGCTGGTCTGTGTGTCTGTCTGTAGCCAGCATGGTGGTATTAAATCTGCTTATTTTTCATCCCTATTTCCAATCCCAACACCTAAATAACCAGTTAAATTGGGCTGTGGTTTTCAGTTGCACGTGAAAACCCCGGAAACGGTTTTCTTCCTTGCCGGATTGTCACATCAAACCTTCTCTCCCCCTGTGACGGGGGCTGGTTTCGCTTCTGACTCTCGCTGGCATGAGAGCTCTATTTGACATCCATCAACTGCGTTGAGCCACGGTGGAGTTCCACTCACTGCACATCTTAAACATTCCCCTCTCACAGCTGGAAAATCATCACGAGTGTCGAGTATTTTAGTGGTGAGGGAAAAGCACGATTAAGCGCCAGTCCCAATTGCGGCACTCAGTTCGACGGCACAATATTTTCACTTCGGCGAGATGTCTCAGTCTCGCTTCTCAATCACTTTGTCTTCCATGTGTTGTCTCCTTCTGCCGATGTGATGGGGCTCGGCGTCGCGCAAACACATCGTGATGATTTAATGTGAATCACAGGCTGATGAAGAACTCTGCACAACCATGGCCCTGCATGCAGAAAAGACACGTGCATGAAACGCTTTCTGAAGTAAGGGTCACAATATCATTTGCACACTACGACACAATGCGACGTGCACTGCAGCAAATACTGTCTTTGTGTGGCCAGAAGAGTCGTTTCTGTGAGATCATTGGATTGGTTTACATTGCAAAGTCGCTATACCTTTTGGATACATAACAACTTATTTAACATGAAGTTAATTAACATCAACATCATGCTCTGAGTTTTTCTTCTCTGTGGGAATAGAAAGGGTTCTCCTTTAATAATTACCTGTGTCTCCAGACGCTACAGGGGCCGACTATCTGACATTTCCCCCATGACAAAACGATACAACACGAATATGTTCCAGCCAGGTGAGGATCCTGGACCCGAAACAATTAATTACCAGCAGGGAGACGTATTACCATGGCGACGTCCCCGTGGAAACTCTCGGGTGTCCTGGTCTCCAAAGGAATCTGCACTTTTGAAAAATGGAGCCTCGTAAGTATTCATTACTTAGCCACGCATTGAGATTACCCGGCTAACGCTACTGTGGTTCCAAAGGAAAAGAAAACGTATGGAAAATACTTTTCTAAAAATGATTTCTAAAGGAAAGTCTATCCATTTCAGTCAAGCTGTGTGAATGCTTCTCGCTGAGTAGCAGCTTTAGTATCCTTAATGGACATACTGTATGTCTAGTTTCAGTGTGGAGAAAGCACTCAGGCCCCACGGTAGGAAAAAGAAACGCCGCTCAATAAGTTCCGTGTGGCGTTCAATAAATGCATTGATCATCACACAAACAAACCCATCACAACCGTAGCAGGAATTAGAGTGCTGGGACGAGGTCAATAACTCTCAACCCGACCAATTTTGAGTCAGCTCGGGCTCGTTTTCACTTGCCCTCTAAAATGGGGTCGTGTGCAGCTACTGAATACACACCGACGTAGAATGAATGTTTGACATGTGCGACATTTGTGCTGTCACTATTTCTCAAATTAGGATAATTACATTCCAAGAGCATGGCGGGTTGTCACCGAACTGCCAAGAAAAGGGAGGTTATAAAAAAGGCTGCATGAAGGATTGGTATGTATCCTTTAACGTCCACTCATTTCATAATGACATCAGGAATTACTCACACGATGGATGGACTTTTTATTCAAAGTTAGTATGAATTCAACGGTATTCCTGAGTGACGTCCAGGTGAATCAGATTCACTGTATTCTGGCTTCAACAGTGGACGTATCCGTCGGAAGGAACCTTTTGCTCCGTCCCTGCTCTTTATGTCAGTATATACTTGTCTATGAAAGGTGCGGCTCATAGTGATAACGTGGCAGATCATCATTACCCGACCCCAGAGGCCCCCTCTTCTTTACACATTTTTATATCAACTCTCGCTAAATGTGCCACTGCCCGAAGATGGTTAGCTTAGCTTAGCATTTTATGTGACATATGCAGTGTATTCAGGTTTTTATTCCAATCATTTTAACTATTTAAGAAGAAGTATTTCTGTGTTTTATACTGTCCTCTGTGATGTTTTTGGGATAATATCCCAACATGATAAATATCACTAAGATCGCCTTAAAAAAAGGCCAATCAAACTACCAAACAGGAAAAACATGTTGCATTATGTTCTTCAGAGGTGTGCGCTGTCTAAGTTAAGGGGAATCCACCTAAAAGCTTTTATTTGTGTTCCTGGATTTGACACTCATTGTCCCCCTGAGCTATGGTGGCTTGTGAGGGACACACACGGTTGTTACATTTCAGGAAAATTCAAGCTAATTACAGCATACAACCCCAAAGAAAAAAACTTCATTGCCTCCGTAAATGAAACGCCTTTGTTGAGTCTTCGATTCCTCACAGACAGATACTGTTTTGGCCACAGGGCAGGACTAAAAAAAAAAAAGTCATTTCCACAAAGCACATTACAGGGGTAGATAATCCAGTGGCGGCGCAGGGTTTCGCTCCGAGGTACTTGGGTGATGCTTCATGGTGGGGTCAGCCGCCAGCTGCTGGAGGTGAGCTATCTGGGATGAAGTCCTCTCCCCAAACGACATCAACTCTATTTTAATTCTCCACGCGGCGTGGTGCATTGACACCCGAACACATGGTTAAATTAGGGCCACTGCAGGGGACCTTGACAAACATGTGACTTTGACTGAATGTATCGCGGCGTCCCTGCATTTGAAGGAAAGGAGTTTTCTTTTAGTTTGTGTCGTCAGTCACGCTTGTCACCTGTTTTAAAATATACTCACATTGGATACAATTGTGAGGAGTAAATCTGCTTGAGAAATTTATGTCATCCTTATGATCTCAAAGACATATTGTGTTAATTAATTAAATGGTTATCTTGATATTTTCTGCTTCCAAACAAGAGCACAAAAATATCTTTAACATTATTAAGAAAAAACACAACGAAAACAATTACTTTTGAAAATAATTCCCAGCCCTTTATAGCTTAGATTAAGAGGCGTCCTCCCCAGTAAAGGTGTTTTAACAAATTCAGGGAAGCTTAAGGTGCAATTGTTCAGACCGTCTGATGATAACAATATCTTTTGGGACGTACTTGATTGTTGCAAAGGGAAAAACCCGTCGTGTAGATTTTGTATCTAACTGGTGTCCAACTGTCTTCATACTTCTCAAACGCAACACATCAAATGTTCATTCATTTTTTGGTACACTTTGAGTTGAGTTTACAGAATGATTTGAAAAACACTTGAATTCAAACCCAGGACTCCCTGCAATGCCAACCACATGTAGTCTTTAATGCTCTTAAATGCATATTAGGCTGATGACTGAACATTTACTCATAAGTTATATAGTTAGTGTTAGGGGAGGTGGATAGATAGATAGATATATCTGATTTCTAAGGAATAGCGTGGTAGGCTGTGCTGACAAGAAAGCAAACTTATGTATGTGCATACGGTTCACATATATGCTCCTATTAAAAAACAGCTTTTAACACAATAAACTAAGTATAATACACTAAGTTCATTTATAGTCAAAATTCAAGGAAAAAACAAAAGTGGAGTCTGTTTAGCCAAAGTTGCGGCTTGAATATTTCAGTTTATAGATAAACTGTCGAGTGTCTGACAAGACCTACTATATAAACTTTGAACACAGGCTCTCCAGAAGATGTCGATAGCTGTAAATATTTAATGCAGTGCCTCCGACAACGCAGGACACTGAAACAAATCTTTACCAGATTGAATTCAAGATAAATAGCACGGAAATATCACCAGCGCTGGTGCAGAGATTTCCGTGCAGTTGTTTTGTCAGCGTGGTCTCGTTGGGGGTTTGTGTTCCACGGATCGCATGTAAGGTTATCCGTGGTGTCAGCACTTCTTAAACAGCACCTCAAGTGTTTGTCACATATTATATGTGCAGATATGTGAATTAGATAAAGGCTCTTTTAGTGCCTGCAGTGCTTTTTTCACAAAGGTTTCTGAACTATAATGTGGTTTGGTACAAATAACGGACGAAAGAGCTGTGCAGATATTTTGCTGACTACTACGGCGCACTGAACGAAATAAAACCATTCTCAACTCATTTTAGTGCATTTCAATGAAATGTTAATGTAGCCTCAACATGCTGTGCAGCTGTAAGATGAAGTAAAAAGTAAAAAAGAGAAATTGTAAAATATTACAAGCTGGTTTTAAATGTTTAAAAGTGTCCATGCTGCCTTAAAAATGACATTTAGAGCAAATCCAATTCATGATAAGATTAAAGTCATGTCATATGAAAATGTACGTTGATCAGTGAACTTAATTGACTTCAACAGCTGTCCGTCAGCCTAGTTATCCATTACAATGTTAAATTGACACAAACGAATAGGAAGCTTTGAAAACATGTATTTGATTAGTTAACAGCAAACAAATAAATAATAATTCAGATGAAGTCCGGTAGGATGTTTTCTAGTCTGAAGGAAATGGCTTATTCCACAAAACTGTAACTTTTTAAGATCAATGATATAAATAATAATTGGTTGGTACCAAATTAGGAGAAAAGGTCTTGGAAATGGTTGAGGAACAAGAGCATTGGATTTGATGCTCCTAAAGCATTTTTTAAAGAATTAAAAGATCAGAATCACAATCAAATGTAAATTCTGTGCCTACCTGCCATCAAAAAATGATCAACACAGTCCCATTTTTTAACTTTTATTCACTTCAGTTCTCAAGTGTTAAAGCAAGAACAAAAACATTTATAATGTCCTTTGGTGGGATTTTATTACACTTTATTAATACTGTATATGTAAACTGATATTCTTTGATGCCAGCACGTTGCCAATACAAAGGAAAATCAACTGCACAACTAAAAGTAATAATAACAAATAAAATAAGTGAAAGAAAGAAATATAACTCAATGGGAAACCATCTGCGTTTGGATGTTTTAAATAGATACAATAAAGGTTGCCTTTTTTTCAATCACAGTTCGGCAAAGATACAAAAGGACTACATGACTCTTTTTTTTGTTTGCTCTGTCGAGAAAAGAACTTGCAAATACACCGATATTTTTCTATGCACTTCTCGTCTGCTCAGGTGAAAACTATCCTCGGACCGTAGCCGCAGGGAGCGTGGTGGCTCTAAGATAGAAAAAGAATCAGACAGCTTTATTGGAGAATCTTTTTGCAAGAGAGGAGAGGAGGGAGGAGGAATGGAGGGGGGGGGGGCTTCTTACACATGTGCATCACTAACATCGGACAAAAGAATCTTTCAACCAACAAGGGTTTACAGAGTAACGTTCACGAAAGCACGGGTCTGTGGCAGCATGGCGAGGGAGGCGAGGGCTTTGGGACTGGAGGCGGGAGAGGGAGGGGGGGGGGGGTGAACAGGAGGGAGGATGAGACAGAGCTCAGGGGAGGCGGGACAGAAAGCTAGAGAGGGATCAACGTGGGCAAAGGGGGTTTTTTTGTGTCACAAAGGGGCGGTCGGGACGGATTTCCTTCTATCCACAATGCACTGACAGCAAAGAATGCTCTGTGTGTGTTTCCTCCTCTTTTAGTCGAAGCGTCACGCTCGTGCTTCAGGGGCCAACCGGTCAGGCATTCAGCGCGGGCAGCTTCTCTGAGATCTCCTCAGCGTCAGTCCAGCCAACATTAACTCGCCGAAAGCATCCCGCGGGGGATCGGAGGCCGCCGCCGCCGGCTCGTTGGAGAGCTGATTGGTCGCTGCTGCTGTTGCCGTGGCAATAAGAGGGACGTAGCGAACAAGTTCGTCATCTTCTCAAGGTGGAAGGAGCTCAAGTACCTGCTATGGCTTAGAAGGGGAGGGTGGGCCTCATCGTTCTTTGCACATTGCACTCTATTTAGGCAAACGCTCTTTTTTTCCTTAATAATATCTGGCATTTTTTTTAGAAGTATATGTTTTTATTTTTATTTTGATATATTCTTTGAAATGAAATAATAAAAGTTTTTGCACTCATTCGTCTGGCACATTCCCTTCATCGTCAGCGCGAGTGTCCATTGAGTCTGGGCGGGCGGGGAAGCTCAGAACAGTGCAGTCCGCGCAGCTCACGGCCGTTCCTGTTTGATGGTTGATTATTCGAAGAAGGGAAAGGGGGGAGGGGAGGGGATCGTGTACGGGGGAGGGCCGGGGAGGGTAAAGGGGAGTTGGCGGGGGACTCGACCGCTCCCGCCAGGTGAGGTGGGCCCCTTCAGAGCAGCGCAGGCCAGCAGGAGGCGTCTCTCAGCAGCGCCGGGCCCAGCAGCAGCAGCAGCAGCAGCCCGGGGAGGGACGGGGGCGTCAGGGGGGCCTGGCCCGAGTCGGGACCCCCGCAGCCACCCAGCTCTGACTCGCAGCGGTGGTTCTCACACAGCAGACCCGAGTAGTCTGAGGTGCAGCTGCAGCGGACGTTGTTGACGCACACCCCGCCATTTTGGCAGCGCAGGAGCTCGTTGTCACAAACGCGGGCTAATGCAAAGACAGGAGAGACGGGTGAGGGTCAAACATTCAGCGCAGGGCCGGGTGACAGTTTACTTGAAGTTTAACCGCATCGAAAAAACACAATCAATTCAATTTTGTAGCATAAAATAATCTACTTCCATTAAAGAGGAAAATGAACCCTGGAAATGAGGAATTCAGATTCGAACAAATCCAGAACACGCGAATGGTTCGCTTCAAGTAAAGTGTTACCGTATTTTATTCCAGATTTGATTTAGCTCAAGTTTGAAAGGAAGGGTTAAACATTTTGGGAAATGGGTTTATTCAGTTTTCTTTCTGCAAGGATCAATACAACTGGTATAAATGCACATATGGAGCTAGAGACAGCAGCCAGTTAGCTTAGCTGAAAACTCGAATCTGAAGAGTAAAAGCACCATTTTGTTTTTAGCGGTTTCTTTTGTGTGCACGATGGATGCTTGGAAACTTCTAGTCAAGAAAAAGTCACATATCATTATATAAACAACATAGTAGATGTTGAAGTGTGATAAGTATTTCAATCTTACTCCCTGCGAGAAAGCAAATAAGTTGATTTCCCAAAATGTAAACTATTGCTTCAACATTATGCTAAACAATATACTGGATTTGCAGACAAACAAATTCCCTCGTATGAAATATATTCATTCTTCAAGGCAAACTCTGTACTGCATGCATCCTAATTACATTAGTCAATATTTCACTAAGTCAGGTTAGTAATGTTAGTCTAAATGGTTGAAGACTCAAACGTTTCAAATTTTTCTCTTTCTTCATAAAAAACATTTGCAATCAAAATGTTTTTAGTGTATAGAAAGTGGGTTTAAAGGATGTTTATTAGTCAATACCTTTCAAGAACTTTAAGTTTAAGACTGCTATAAAACACAAAAAAAACAACCTCCAAATAATTTAACATCCTTATAATAATATGAATATGCAATCAAACCTTCTGGCAACTTACAGCAAAGATGAATTCTCATCTTTTCTTATGTAAACGCCTCATTCTGTCAGTGAGTACATTCCCTTTTTGTTAACATTTCTTTAATAACGAAGCTGATTAAAGCGGTGCTGCTGCACAGACGTCCTCAAAGCCTCGCAGGCTTCCCCCCCAAACGGCGCTGTCTTTAGACAAACTGAACGTCAGGTGGAAATTGGTGTATATTTAGAGCTGGGACACCGAGGCCACTCTATTCCCAGCGGAGGCAAGCTGTCAGGCAAGCTGGAGGCAAACAAAGCAGCGGCGCACAAACTAATAAACCAACAGAGACAAATAAACAGTGATAAACACAGGGGCCACTTCTGCCCATTTCACTCCTTTATGGGAGTGGAAAACAATGTGGTGAGCAATCTATGAACTCTATGGGACGTAAATATCACAATAACAAATATCTCGCCTTTGCGCTGATACTCAGGATTGGACGCATGCCGTCTCCCAGGAATCTCCCAAAGGCGCTCGGATAGGAGGCTTTGTAACGAAGTCATTCCCTCCGTGAATCCTATTTGTGCCGTGTCTGTTTTGCGGAGAAAGGGGACCCGCTGTTTGGCTGAGTACAGGTTTTGCTGCAGGCCGCTGCTCCCTCAATTACCATACACAACTAGATCCAAATGAGACATCTGAACTCTTCTGTTGTCTTTTCTCCTCTCAGATTGGCATATCAATTTCATGACTGATTCAACGACGCAGCGGGATATAAAGTAAGGTGTCAATAAAACCACAATCACAGCTTCTTTCTTTGGAGGGCCTTTGTTTTGCTGGTTTTCTTCTTCTTACGGTGAAGCAGCTAAAGTTGGTAATAAAAAGTCTCCTTCAAGATGACAGGGAAGAACAAGGTATTAATTAGAGAATCGTGTTTTTCCCCACGAGGCTTTGATATGACCAGTTGACTGGCGAGACGCCGTTAATTAGACAATGACCTTCCATCATGTCCACGGCGTCTCTCCTGGCTTTCATGAGAAAAAGCACATATGTTGTGTATTTCTAAAGATGTTCACAGTTGTTTGAATCATTATGCACATTAAATATATCATAAAAACACCCGAAATGATTTGCTAGATAACATTGTTTATGGAAACCTTCGCAAAGTAAAAACCCGCCCAGTGCACCATGAGCAGGACCAGGAGAAAGTGCTCCAGCTATGCTAAATTATAGCAGGTTTTGAAACCTGCAGCCTACCTCCTGCATTTCAAAATAAAATACAATTTGACAAAAATAGCTTTGTGACGTTTGCACAATATTTGATTCTCAGGACTCAGGAAGTACTTCTTTTCAGACTATGCTGCCAGCTACTTACAGCAGAAATCTCCACTACAGCTGGCTTAATTCACCCGTCGCTAGCTTGATGTGGTAAAGCTCCTGTGTAAAACATTATAAAGTGCATAGTATCAGTGAGTATGAGCTCAGTTGAGTTGGTTCAGGAATAAACTTTATATATCAAATATTGTTTTCCAACGGCCGTCTGCGATATCTCACCGCTAACCACTATCTTCAGAAGAAGGGACGCCTTTCTCAGGGCACATGTTTCAGCCTCAATTTAGAACTGGTTCACTGTCTTCCATGGAGTAGGCGGAGCCCAAATATGGCAAAACCAGGTATTTCACCCATTACTGTGAGACCAGGTTGGAAAATGTTACTTACTTCGACTTTAAGCAGTCAGTAGAGAAGCTACCTTGGTGAGTTGCATGTTTAAACATTGATATTGAGAGGGAATCTTCATTTTTAGATGAACCGCTACTTAAATATTAACTACGCATGATACTCGACGCGGTGCAGTTGACTTCAAAGTGAACTTTGGGTAATGGGCAACCCCTGCTGGCAAAGTGCTTCATTTGCAGCCAATTAAGCAACGCTAAAGTCCAAAATGGAAACAAAGACATGGTTTAAAAAAAAAAAAAGACCTGCAGGAGCAAGTTTGTCAAATACGAAGACTATAATGAGGTCCATGAGAGAAGGTTTCTCTAACACCGTGAAGGCGAGAAAACAACGTGAAGGCACACACAGTACCAGCATGGGGCATTATGTTTTTGAAAACTAAGGATGGGTATTCTGAAAGATGAGCGAGGAATTAAGTTGTAAGCTTGAAAACTCATTTGAGGGACGGATGAAATCTTCGGAGAGCTCTGCACCTTCATCTCTCTTCCATCTCTCACATTAACCATTTTCTCGGCATGTAAACAGAGCCGGCGACGACAGTAAATGACAAGATTTGTAGCGTTTGCTTGTGATATGAGTGACAATATTTAGAGAAGGAAGCGATGATCTAGGTGTGCCTGTCTAGGGCTGTGATGTGTTTGACGAGAGCTTGGGGTTTTAATTGCATTCTTCAGTGTGCATGCAGATCGGGTCTTGTCCATTCCACATAAATACTGCAGGAGTCGGGAAGCAACGGGAGGTCAAGATGGAAAAGTATTTAAACTATTTCTGCTGTGAAATAGCATTGCGCAGCTTTCTTGCTGGAGTCGAAAAATAAAATAAAACGACTGACGCGAGTTGTAAACTGTGAATAAACTTTTCTTGCTTGCGTTCTTCTTTCCTCTTTCTGATAATCACTCATGTATAGCATGGGGAACACCTTCTTTCCATGAAAGGCATTCTGGGAAACGTTGAATGTGTTGAATGAAATCAGATATATAGCTTATAGCTTAAGATTCTGATTCAACCACGAAAGAATACACATACTCGAGTGTCGTTTCCTAAACCTCTTTAGTCTCACAGAGGGAGCAAAAGTTTGATGCTTAGAAGTTTTGAGAACATTCAAATACTTATACACAATCCTGTTTGTTTGATTTTCTAATCACTGCCACTTGCTAATCTGAAAAAATAAAACTACAGACCCTTTCTGTGCTTTGTGCCTTTCCATCTGTTTGACGTGTTTTCTTTTCTCCTTCATTTTTACTTTCCTTTTCTTCCCGTTTCTTGTAAACATATAATTGCTGCTGCTGTACAGCTCAAATTAATGCACTTGTTCAAAGCACAAGTCACACAACATCATAGGCTAAATAGCAACAGTAACAATACGTTAGTATGTTAGTATCAAGCTGCATATAGTGTTTGTTACAGTGAATTGTGTGTGTCTGTCGTGGCTGCCGTCGTGCAGCAGAAAGCTCTGTTCTCTGAGTCTCTTTCATGATGGATTTCTCCTTTATTGTTGAACATCACTTACAAATAGCAGTTCTTAGAAAGTCACTGCTGTTATTTTGGGGTACTAACATCAATAGCTATGAAATGTCATCCACAGCTCTATTTATTATATTGATATACATAATATGATATTGTATTTTTTTTTACATAAATGGACTTTCTTTGTTTTCACTAATCATTGTACTAAAAAGATATTACAGTTTAACTTTTGTCCCATTGGTCAAATGCTTCCTTAATGATTTTATACTTTATTTTCTTTGTGCTATACTTAAAAATGAAATGTTTTCTACAGCTTTTTGTGATTGAATAATTCATCATTTATTTCTGCTCACAGTTTACGTTGTGTTGGGCCTGAGTGGGGTGTTTTCATACAACTGGTCCCATTCACGCTCCTCCAACTGGACCAGAGAGTATTTCCCGCTCAGTGATTTGCTGAAGACTCATCAGGAAACACGACCAATGCTGACGTTGGTCATGTTCACCCTGGCTAAATAAATCCTCATATCCACGGGAAGAAATAGATGCCGTCACGACAAATGACTTCCTCAGAATCACATCAATTTACATGGTTGAGGCACCTTATTTAGGACGCCGCTGTCAGCCAAGAGAGATTAATGTCGAGCTACAGGAGTGGAGCAAATACAGTAAATGTCACCACCGGGTGTCTATGAATCCTGATGCAATCTAATCACAGCTACACAGTGGCACAGGAATGGGTAATGGGTGGTCAAATACTAAGTGGCAGCAATTATTATGCCACCAAACAAGCCAAATCATTCAGTCAATTAGTCAAAAGATGTGCATTAGGTTCCTTCTTTATCTGCCAGAGTTCAAATCTTTCTTTATTATGGCTGCTTCCTGAAGGTTGGTCACCAAAGTTTGACACGAAGGAAACAAAAAAAACATAAAATTGGTGACATTTAAAAGAAATGATCCCATGGTGCATGCTTTGCGGGCAGAAATGTAACCAATTGACAATAATAACCGGGATCGAGATCAAAATGAGCTGCATTCTCCTTTGCAACATGTTAGTGTTGGATGACATTGTCCTGGTGTGAGCTGGCGAGAGGAGGGGGAGGGGGTGAGGGGGGGGGGGTTGATGGCTCAACTCAAACAGATCACAGGCAGCCTGTCAAGCAGTCAACATTGACTCAGCTGTTGTTCTGTCGGCGTGCGACATGGCTGGATAACTGCGTTCCCGAGCAGCATGCACCCTGCCATGCCGTGCCATGGCCTCCCTGCCGGCCCTGCAGGGCACCTGCCGAGGTCACATTGTTAACTCGGCCGCAGCGTGTGCGCGAGTGTGCGATGCAGGTTCACTCAGTAAATGAAATCGCTCGGCGTGTTCAGTGAGATCACATTATGGGTTAGGTCTGTATTTGACAAGGCGGCTGGGCAGTCCTGCACATGTGCAGCACACATTCTTCCGGGCAAAGCTCAGGAATCATACAAAGAGAGAGAAAGGGGGGGTGGGGGGTGGAGGGGGAGGAAGAGGCAGAGGTGAGGGAGAAAAACAGCAGGGAGCTGCGTGGGGAGGTTTGTGATTCTACTTACATTTGCAGCCATCGTCCCACAAATAGCCGGGTAGACACTGCTGACACTTAGGCCCTGTAGTGCCCTCCTTACATATACAAAATCCTGTGCCATTACAGCGATCACTGACTGAGCCAAAGGGATTACAATTACACTCTGGAAAAACAAGACACACACACACACACATACACAAACAAGCTGGAAACAGGGTGGTGCTTTGACTCGCCGGCACACGTCCAGAGAACCTCATTCCTCAAGCTCAATTATAAGGCTCAACTATTACAACAAGAAGTTTACGATATGTTAACTGGCAAAAAATGTGAATAGATTTAAAGACATACAGGAAAAATGCTACCATTTCAACCGTAATGGAGACAGAGTGAGAAGAGGATGACGGACGCTAGATGCATGAACACTGTGTTCATTACAGTATATTTGTGAATTCTATAGGAATAATCTTTGCTATTAGACAGCTATACAACGTGCATGAGGTAATATGCAAAGCATTATCAGTAGCTTTAATTTAAGATGACCAAAGAGAGCTAATCTTCACATGCTTTTCCAAAATCGTATTCACTCATACATCGATCGAGAGAGAAAGATGAAAGGGAGGAAATGGGAGGAGCGGGTCTCAGATGAATAATGGCGAAAAAGAGTGATAGTTTATAGAAGAATGAGAGTACAGCACATTGAAATGGGCATTGTTGTATTATGTTCTTTAATTCTCCCGAATGTTCAAGTGGGTTATTTAAAAAAAAACGGCTACCTGCCAAGTCTCTGGTGTCCTACGCTCAACTGACCTTCCAGCTTTCCACAGCAACCGGAGCACTCAGCAGTCAGAGCGACACCTATTTTGACAGCCCCTGACCGCCACATTGCACCTTCCACGGCTGCGCTGGCTGCACCCGAGTGACATCCGGGGGGGAGGGAGGGGAGGTCAGGGTGAGGGAGGCAGGGCGACGGCGAGTTTGGCACAAGGTAACGCCTCAGTGACTCTTAATGCCTTGTGACGGGTTTCAGCTGCTACTCTTGGGGCCATTTCATGTATATGACATATGCACTTGTGTGGCACCTCTGACTGGCGGTGTGACTTCCCTGCGACATTTTTCTCGGAATTCTTGTCGCTTGTCAGGCCCCCCCACCCTCCCCTCAGGACTCACGAATGCACCTGGCACAGAGCACTGTGAACACAGTCCACATGCTCGCAAAAAAAACTCAATAGGGAACCAAACAAAATCTCGAGGATCGAGGTGAAATGCATTTGCACGTATTCGTCTACATGTAGGAAAAACAGATGATTCGGTGTATGCATGTATGCATTAGGCCTTGGACAAAATAACAGAAACACCGGATGAAAATGGCCTTTTACCTTTGACATCACAAAGGTGATCCGTCTCCACAGCTCACTGGAACGAGTGATGTTTCAAGCTAAATGGTAAAATTCGATGGACCTTGCTCACCGATTATGTGGTAGTAAGGATGCCATTTTATCATAATGATGTGAAAACAGAATGATATATAATCTGGTAATTTATAAACTTCCAAAGCTTAGCTAAACTGCTGCTGGCTTCATTTCTAATATTCAGACATGAGACTAGGTATTTCCATTAGTTTGTGCACTAAAATGAATGCTTGGCCCCAAACCTCGTTGTAAGAAACTTTATTCAAAAGTAAAAGCTAGCAGCTAGAAACCGATTATAACTCACTACAATAATGTCGCTAAGCAGCTATGAATCAACTGCAACACACTTCGGTAATGTAAGCCAGCAGCTGTGCACCAATTGTAAACCACTTCAAATATAAATAAAAGCTAGCAGTCTGCTAACTGTAACACTGAATCAAAAATCAGTCTACTGTACCTAAAAGGACTGACTGAGTGTGTGTTCTTCTGACTAAAGCTGAATGTTCAAAACTCTACCACTGTGCAAAGAGTAGAAGAAACAAACAGGGAGACATGGAGACCACTAAAAGACACAGAGACAAGAGGATGTACGGGTGCTGAAGCCTCGGCTGATGGAAAGATGACGAGTCAAAGACAGGTGAGGCGAGGAGAGTGCTGCTGTAGGAAGCAGGGTGGCAGTGAAGGGGGGCCATGGTGGGAGACTGACCTATGCAAACATTTTCATCGTCCAGTTCTGCAGAGGCATTGCGGTAGTAGCCCAGCTTGCACAGCTGGCAGTGCTGGCCCCTAGTGTTGTGCTTACAGCTCACGCAAATGACGGTGTTTAGCAGCTCGATGTAGCTGCACCGGTTGGAGTGGCCGAAGCATTCGCAGTCTTGCAGAGAGAGAGTGTGAAGGGGAGCGAGGGGAGAAAGAGAGAGAGAGAGAGAGAGAGAGAGAGACGCGGTAGGGAGCGTTTGTCAGTGGCTTTTTTGCTGCGAGCGCTACGGCGGCGGGGTGAGCAGGAACATGGAGCGTGGCATGCAAGGTCAACCAATGGAGACTGCGCTGTGAAGGTGATGAGAGCGAGGGGGCAACTCGGGATTAGTCTGACATGGGCACAGCCGGAATTAGAAGACATCACACGACAAAAGCACGGCGCCGGGTCGCACTCGGGAAGAGTCACATCACTTTACAGGCACACCACAACACGAGGCTCCGCGACGATGGAACAGAGACACGGCCACGGTGGGGACACCACACAGTGCAAGGAAGGTCAAAACCATGAATGGAATGGAACTGTGTTGGGGGAATTTGTGAAATTGTCATCTTTCATTTAAAATGCATTGAATACGGGATGTGAACGTACGCTGAGGTCCAGCGGCAGAGACTGTGTCACCGGCTGGAGTGTTATATCATGCTGAATTAGATTCATGGAGTTGTAGCCGGACTCTAAAACGGTCACTGATACTCACTGGCGGTCGGGGGAGGCGAGGAGGGGAGGGTGGGGGTGAGGGGGGGGGCATCCCCGGCTCATCTCCATCTGAGTGAGGATCAGTCTGCCACCGCTGAGTGACCACTGACACCACGTGTCACAGCACAGACAGATGTGACCCGTAAGCCTCGCTGGCAGTCGCTTGGACAGAAAGCCCGCGGATCCAGAGGAGAGGGAGCAGGGGGGAAAGAGGGGAAGGCGGGGTTTCGTCCAAGGGATTGTGGTTATTAAGGATCTGTATTGAGGTCAGGTCTCTCTGTCTGACCGCCGAGAACCTGACAGGACTTGGAAATGAAGGAGAAGAGAGACGGAGCACAACGTCTGCTTTTGGGTGCGAGGGGGGATCTCCTACGTTAGATATGCCTCCGTCTCGCAAACATACTCTCGCAAGACAAATAATCTCTCCTCTCCGGAAATAGGCTGAGGTCATAAATCATGCACGCGTGGGGAATAGAAATTCCTGAGTCTCTGAAACACGTCCCCCAAAAATAGTCGCGGTCCCGAGCACCCGCTATACATTTGCTGCAAAAAGAAATGGTTCCAAGGGACTTTCGGCGTGTTTTGAAAACAATCCAAGAGACGAATGAATCCTCGATGCGCAACGTACAGTGAACTCCATCAGTCCAGTGGAGAGATAGAGATGTGGTATCACAGTGCTCTGGCATCGGGTTAGTGCTGCAACGGTTATGGGGCTTACGGTTAGTCAAAAACATCAGTTTATCTGTGGGGAGGTGGGGGGGGGGGCGGGGGGGAGGGGGCAATGTATGAATTCCAGCTCCTACCTCGCTTGCTGTTTGCAACGTGGACAGAAGGGGCAGTGGACAATGCAACCTGAGGAGCTACTAGACAAATTCAAAGAAACAAACAAAACAAAACATGATATTGCAATTAAACATAAAACATGTAATGTCATAGAATTAAGAATACCAAGCAACATGCTTGATAATAAATGTAGCTGTAACAAAAAGAAGAAAAGAGATATATGAATGATGGCATTGGGAAATAAAGAGTGTGGTTGCCAAGTGAAGTTGGCTGCATTTAGCGGCATCTGCTACAAATGCCTTGGCTGCCGAACAATTCAAATATTATGGTCCTTCTTTTATGCTTCATTTGATTAACAAGCGCTTTGTATAATTCAAAAGCCTCTGTGTACGTTTCCCCAGACAGAAACCATCCCCTGACAAACTACTCTCCATCTCTGTGGAGGCCGGCCAAGAATTTTCACCCTATAAATTTGTGCGCAGGAGCGTGGGCAGGGGAACTGGCTAGTGAACACATCAATCCCTCGATTCCTTTACGGTCATAAAACAAACAGTGTGGAAAAAAAAAGAAATAATAAGGCCAGCCTCTGCCATTGTACTTGGTGACATAAGCCCCTGACACATGCAATGTGTGCGCTTGGCTGCGGTCATGGAAACGCAGAGCCGAGTGGTTGTGCGCTAGTTGTTTGCGAGGTGGCTGCACATCACATGACGGATTAAGTTGAGACGGGCCTAACGTCAATCTGCATAAAAAAAACACAGTGGAACCTCTGCATGCTTTTTCTTCCTGATACGCTGATACGGGACGGAGAATCGCTGAATGCTCTCTGCCTCTAATTCAAATCCAGTACGAGTGTGCAGTGCACGCATCCGGAGGATAATGTACGCCACCGCGGCATGTTGCAACACGGGTGCCCTGTGAATGCACAGGCCTCCTTTGAATGAGCCGAGGCGCTTTATCAACCCAAGCAGGCGGGGGGGATTTTTTTTTTTTATGGTTAAGGGTTTCAGAAAAATAACCGAGATTGGAAACGGGGGAAGATCCGACCCACAAATACGCATCGCTACCAAAAAGCCGTTTTTTTTTTTTCTTCATCTATACAAACAGGCTGAGATAAAAGAATCTGTGGAGAGACATAATTGTTCCATGTTCTTCGATGCCTACCTTCTTTTCGGTTAGCGACACCTAGGGATGACACATTCTGCCGAACTGCGTGCAATTGAGAGAAACCAGGAGTTATTCATGTGCATTTGTGTGATGCACTTTACAGATATTCTAGTGTGCGGGGGTGGGGTTGGGGGGGGGGGGGGGGGGTGTGGGGACCACCTGGGGGGGGGGGAACACACCCAACTCGAGACAGGGACATGTCCCGCCTGGCTCCAATCCGTATTTTAGGAAACAGCCAATACAATGGGGCAGGGCTGACATGGACGAGCAAAGAGAATGCATCCAAAGGTCCGCCGAGGACATTGGTGAGACGTTGTATGTAATCTGTGTGACTTCCATGGGCTTGCTGTTTATGTGTATGCTTATGGGAAATGGCAATGATGAGTGACCAACTGAAGAAAAGATGATAAAAACCTTGTTAAACTTGGTATTTAAGGCAATCAGGTCTAAACTATATTCAGTAAATTAGGAAGTTAGAGGTCATTTTATTTAATTCATTGCATTGACTATGCAATCAATATCTAATTACAGTGTATTTCTGGTGGAGTAATAACAATGAATAAATAATGGCAGGTGTTTGGTCTGGGAATGACGGACTGCTGTGGGTAGCATAACCTCATAATTACATACAAGTCTGTATTTCCGTGTCAGGGAAATACATGCGGTTGGAAATGGAGAGGTCTCAAGCAGAGGGAGGAATACGGATCCGTTTCCTCTTTGTGCCCCCGTCATTTCCCAATATGATCTTTCTGTCCTTTGGCTATTGACTCCACAAATCACACAATCTTGGGTAATTAACGTCAAGTGAAGAATCTTATTGACCTGTGTAAACCCAACACTCCTATCCGGGATGAATCATTGTAGAAGTTCCTTTTTCATGGTGTAATTCTTTAAAACGTTTTTTTTTTTTTTTCAAATTCTCCATTGTAATTTAATAATACATTAGCCTTCAGCTCGGCGTGTCCACACGCTGTGACTATCACTTTTGAGCCCCCCTTTCATTAGCAGTCATTGATTTCGAAAGTGCATGAACAATAGAGGACCATGGAGTTTGACCTGTGTCACCGTTTTCTTTCACCGCTTTATTTCCCTAAAACGTGTCTCTCAATGGTTTGCTCGGTTGAAGTTACTCGAGAAAATGAGAAGGCCACACCACGTCACCACTCAAACTCAGTCAGGTCCTGCATCTCATTTTTCATTCAGATTTACCATCGTTGCTTTTATCTGTATTTAAATGCTCACTTTTTAGTGGTGAAGCTGTTTTCTCGAAAACAAAACTTGACTTGCGAGGAAATGAGCAATTAATCCATGACAAAAAAAGGATTGCGTAATCTGAGAAGACACACATGAGCAAACCCTAATGTACCGATCTATAACGTCTAATTGTTAAAGTAGGTTTGTTTGAAATGATTCTGTGTTGAAACTAATACATATCTGGGTCCCATTCATTATTTTTTTAATGGAGAATATTAAGGTAAGGCAAGCTAAATGAGTGGTGACTGAATCTTAATCAATCCCATACCCATAATGAAATGCAATCTTGTGGAGGCAGAATTGTTTTTTAAAATATTAATTTTACTTTAATGGCACGCATTAGGCAATTCTGCCTGGCTTAATCAACTCGAAACAGAAGTCAATAAGGACTCACTTGCCTTCAAACAACAGCGTAAAAAGTGCTGTACTTTCTTTCTTTGTCCACAGCGAGCTTTGCTTCTAGTCCATTAACAACCCCAAAGACCTCCTAACCTTTTCCCCACTCGATTCTTACTTTATTGACAACGGAGACAGGCGATCGGTGTGCACTGAAAACAGCCCCCTCTGCAGCGTGTTCACTTTTCCTTAGCGTCATGCCGGTTCTTTGGGAGGCTGCTGTGACAAGACAGCCATTCGTGAGAACTCTAAATCCCTGTGGGCCGATCTGGATGGGAAATGAAGACTTTGTTTCATCAGTCCCCCCCCCTCCAATCCGCCCTCCCATCTCCCACACCAAACACACACTCGCACGCTCTCCCTGGAAGGATTTGAGATTTGAGGAAAAAAGCCTTTGGACACGGTCTGGCCTGGCGTTTGGATGGGACGGACAGGACTGAGGTGAATATGTACGCATGTGTATACGGCATGTATGCGGAGCATGCACACGCACACTGAGCCCTCGTCGGGACATGCATGGGGTGGAGGAGGCGTAGTTTGCCAAAGTGAGAGGAGGTGCTGAGGGAGGTAAGCGGTGGAAGATTGGGAGAAGGGAGGGGGGCTCGGTTTGCTCTTCATGGCAACATGTCCATTTCTGACTCATGTCCTAGACTTTACAACCAGTGTTCACTTCCACTCTAAAACCTGATTAAAAACCACCTGGGAATAATCTGCTTTCCCCCGGTGTCTTGCACAGTACATTTTTGGAAACTCGCCCAGCTATCAGCTTTAGCCCCTTAAATGATGAAAACAAGTGTGCATATGTCGTCTAAGTGTCCCTCAGTGTGTCACACTTGAGTATTAACTAGATCTTGATTGCAAGTAAGCTATACTTGTTATATATATATATTTACTTCATCAGACTGGTACATGTTTCTTTAACCCTCGGCTAGTCGATATGGGTCTGGGATCAGGCCGGGAAGGCAATTTGCAAATGAATCTGTTACCACGGGAACAGAGGACCCTTGCTACAAACAGGGCGATGAGTCAAAAGAAAGAGAGAATTGAGCCGGGCTTTGAATGCACTTTGACTTGTTCAATACAATCCCATGGTCCCTGCATCACACAGCCTTCCAGGCAGCGGAAACTTGAAACATGGCACCTCTCTTCTTCCTCCTTAGGGGCGACTGGTTGACGAAGATAATACCAGCCGAGGTGCTTGCGGCTCATATTAAAATGACCTCCTGTGACATTATACTGCCAGAGAGGTCTTGGCACTTTAATAAAGTCTGGATGCCATTTATTTATAATGCATGGGAGAGAGGGGAAAAAAACAAATGACATTCTTCATGCAGAGCCAGGCAAGTGTTATCTGGTTGAGTCTAGATAAATTAAATGAATATGCCCATATCGCGGCAATGTGGCCCCCAGATATTGATTCTCGTCCCCACCAAAACCAGTCAACAGGTGAGTGACCCGTTTGTCAAAAGATTGGAATCAGAAATGAACACTTGGCACCAAGTTCAGGGATGTAACATGAAGGGTGGCACAATAAGCAAAGCAGAGCATCAAGCATTCATATAGATATTTTGTATTTTGTACTTACTAACTGGACCAATGTTACTAGGGATACCTGCAGGAGAGTGGGATAGTGAGAGAGAGAGAGAAACAGACCTGAATTAAGCATATAATTGGCTTAAAGGCAACAACTTTAACATTTCTCCTTGAGACTAGCGCTGCCTGTTTAGTCCTGCTATCCCCCCTCACAGTTGATTGGTTTCCCATCCCACCGCATGTGAGACATCTTGATGAGCTAAACACACGTTGAAATGACACGTGGTGTGAGATGTGAGACAGTAGCACCTGAAACAACGCCAGTCTTCAGCATCATTTGACAGTGTTGTCTGCTGCGCGTTTAGCTTCACGGGTCTTTGGTTTCCTCCATTCTTCCTACTTTAAATGTCTCCGATGCTGCCAGAAAAGGTCATTGTTCCCACAGAAAAATGAGCACACTCAAAACCAATTTTTAGCAAACCACTGCAGGCTCAGAGACGGAGTTATATTTGAGTTATTCTGAAGTTAGAGGTGCTTAATTTGATATTCTGAGCGTTAACGACTACCCGAGCAGAGAATGGAGTCTCTTTCTCTGTGTGTGTGTTGTTTTCCGAGCTTCTACGTTCATTTTTGGATGATTTTGAGCGTCCCCCACTGCTCATGCCGCCGCCACAGAAGCCTAACGTCCACCCTGCCGGTTCAATGTTGGCTAAGTTATCAATTTTTACCATTAATTACACTGTTAGCAAGCTTGGCCGTTGCCAATGTTCAGAGCCTTGAAAGGCAATCATGATATTCCCAATCTTGAACACTTTTACAAAGTTGTATACTGCTTTAGGAACTTTGTGGCACACAAGTCTTTTAAAACATGTGCCAACGACGCAAGGTATAATTCTCATGAACACGGACACAGGATGACACCCAGATTGTTATAACATGAAATGACAAACCGCCTCAGATGCCAATAGGAGGACATGCCTTATCCTGCCGCCTGCCTGTCCGTCTCCCCATAAAGCAATCCCTTGTGCCAGACGGCCACTGAGCAGATAATACAGTCAGCCTCATCCCCATGGTGACCAGATCTTTCCCACACCAGGACGTTGGCTGGCTGCAGATCGAAAGGAGATTGAAACGTTACATTTGCTTCCTGCGTTGATCATTTCTCCATCCGACTAAGGCCTTGGTTATGGAATTAATTGGGACGGTGGGGGTTTGGACACCATTAAGCGCAGGTGGCGATAGAAAGCTCTTTGCCATTTTTCACTCTTTGCATCTGTGCGCTTCAAAGGGGACGTGGACACAGTGGCTCTGGGTTTTTTGTTCAGCATTCATTTTTAGAGGAATTTGCTTTCAGGACATCGAGGCCAGCTCCACGATTTCTAATCATCTGTTTGAACGGAGGGCCTCCCTCCCGTTCGCTCTACCCCCTGCCCTCAATAAGGCTGCCTGCACACAAAAACAAACAAGCCCCTCGCCATATGGAGGGGAAGCATGCTGGGCAATAGGAGAAATGTGCCCACGTAAAACAGAGAGGAAGAAATTAAATGAAAAGGGTGCTTTTCTTCCTCTCCTGCTCCCACCTCTCCCGTCAGCTGCTTATAACCACAACTTAGGCTGAGGAGGAATCTGTGCAGGATTTTTTTTGGTGAGGCCTTTCATCTGATAGAGCTGTCAAAATATATCTCAGGGGAAACATGAACATTTCCTGAGTGTATGTTTGCGAACGTGAACTTTGATCAAACTCCCGCCATTCAGTCACTCGTCTTCTGATCTCTGCCTGCAAGCTGTATTCAGGAGACGGATCTGTGACCTGTCTGAGAGCTGTAAAGTGCTATGCGGACATGTGGAGGAGGAGCGTAATGGATGTCAAGCCTCAAGAGCATTGGCAGATGCTAACCAGCAGACGGCCACAAGGGCAAGGGATCACAATCTAAAAAAAAAAAAAACCTTATCCACAAAGTGCAGTTTGATTAGGCAGTTTCACTTTGGAAACTAAATATTGGTTTATGTTGATCACAAAAATTGGTCATTCGAACAATTTCTTCAAAGTCTTCAAAGAAAACTACCTCAAAACTAAAAGAAGAAAATTGTAAGTAGTGCTATTAAGACGGATCAAAATTCAACATGCTTCAGTCCCAATTTAAATTTAAATTATTTGTTATTATAATACGGGGAGATGAAATCCAGCGTTCTGATTGGTTGAGAGTGAGTCACAAGGGTACAATATTGAGCGATAATCCGCTCCGCGTCGGGCCTAACAACACCCCCAAACTGTTAAATTATTGGACGATAAAGTACATCCTCTTGTACCTATTGCTTTAATATAAGTGTCTCACAAATTCTTCAATGCAATGTGTATGTAATATATTATATCAGGGATGTTTGATAAATAAGTTCCCCAAAAAGCATCATAGCAAGAAGGATCCATGCTTATGCAAAATCTTCAGAAAATCATAAACCCTAAAAACAGCAAAGGAAATGTGTTTAGATGATGTAACATGAACTGTACATGTTAGCACGCCCAGCTAACTAGCTTACTTTCCACAATGCTAACCAATCATTGCTACCAAAGCCAAAGGTTAGCATTTAACCTGAAGGCTTGTCCTATTTAAAAAAAGCAAAAACACAGTACAGAGGAAGAGGTAAGATGAGCAGCTTAGCATCGTCATGTTATAGAAAACAGTCTGATCTTAAATGTTTCTTTTACATACATAACACGGTAGCTCCAGCTCTCTCCTGCAACACAAGAACATTACGGTATCTCTATTCTCATGTCTTATGGAAGCGTCAGTGGATGAGGATTCTGACCTTTTGTCTGGCACATTTTGCTTTAGTCTTCTCTAACGTGTGCATTTTCCATCGAGCTCATATTTAACACCCCTTTCAAAAGGGTCGGCATTGTTACCAAAATTAATAGCAAGTAGTTAATCCGCCCCGTTATTATTCTAAACGGCAAGGTGCTGTTCACGAACAGAGAGAGCTTGAGAGGTGTGGAAAACTGTAACTCTGGGGAGCTGGATTATGTAAATGTATATACAGCATTTCAAAAACAATGTATGCAACCAATGGAGGATGTAGTGCCAACACCCTGTATGCGTGCCGCACCGAGCCAAAAATGCATTATACAAGGCTCCTCCAGTTTCTCACCAAGTCACAAATGTGAGAAATGCAAGTGTCTGAGCTGTTTAAGTGAACTGTGAAAAAGCGGAAAATAACAGTAACGCAGTCCTCAAAAGGTCCTAGTTAAGTAGCTGACGGTGAAATATTACACAGGCGCTATCTAAATCGAGTCCGGCAGATTAGCTGGGAACCCACTGCATTAAGTGGAAAAGGAATATGAATATAAAACCAGAGAAAGAGCGCGGTGACTTCTGTTAGAGTGCATTACCAAACTGTAGTTTACCGTCGGAGCGGAGAACCAAACGTAATAGATTATATTTGCACTCGGCTGGATGTCAGACATTGGATACATTACACCACACCAGTCAGAAAAAGAGATGTTACAAGGTCAAATTGACTTCTCATTTGACAAATAACCCTTTGTCTATTTGGTGTAGTTTGGGGCCAAACAAACTTTTCTACCAGGTCTTGGTTTGGGATACCAGCAGCCTGACAGTGCAATTATTTGCAGCTTTCATGAACAACCTGTGGGGTTCAAGCAGATGTCTATGATCTCATGTTGGCTCATTAGATTCATTTAAAATCACAGTCATTTACAATCCCCTTCACCTGCCTGGCCCCACCATTATGGGGCACTACTGAAATCTAATTTAGTCCTATCGCACAGGAAGAGCATTAGGAGCTGCTTATGTTGACGGCGTGCTCCATTGATTTTTATGCGTCGTGCAGGGATCATGGTTGCGAGCCACTGGGTGGTGAACATGATCTCTAAAGAGTTGTGCGATACACGGAACATGATCTCTAAAGAGTTGTGCGATACACGGAACATGATCTCTGAGGGGGATCGGGGGGAGAGGGGGGTGTTCAGTGAACACAATCCGTCCGCACTTTAGTTCAGCACATGCAACAATACGCATGTACAAAAAACATGGGGATTTAAGTATAGTGGAGAGAATCACATGAAGTGACTCACAATAAGTCTCTCAGAACTGTGTGCAACAAGTCCAAGTGCTTGATGTTCATCAACAGTGGTTCAGCTCCTATGATGTCATCCATCCAAGACCACCACTATAACCTTGCAAATGGATTATCAGAAACCAATGATTAAATGTTGTCGATGGGCTGTAAATCCTCCACGTTCATCCTATTTCCTCATTGAACAAGCAAATCTGTCATTTCACTCAGCCTAGTCAAATCTTCAAATCGTGAATTCTTCTGTCCAGAGCACATTCCCCTGTGTGTGTGTGTGTGTGTGTGTGTGTGTGTGTGTGTGTGTGTGTGTGTGTGTGTGGACATCATTACAGGTTTTTTGTCGCTATCCGTTCTGCTTTGACCTTCATGAGTCTCACCTGTTTGCCGTGGCGCTACCTGGTCTACGCTGCTTATCTGCTGAACGGCCACCGCGGGCAGAGTTGGTAATTACTTTCCTGGGCTGCCATTATTTTATAGCAATCCATCATCACCTGGCGCCGTTTGGCTGTAGAGAGCCCGGCGATGGTGACAGGCATTGCTAACTGGTTAGCAGCGGAAAGGCTGCCAAGACACAAGCACTCGGCATGCGACTTGATTGAATTCCTCACGAGCAAAATTACGGCTTGCCTCTCCGGAGTGCGCGGCTCGCTCGCTCCCTCTCAATGTGTAGATCTGAATTGAAGGTGGCAACTCTTAAAGTGCCCAGGAGCCGAGTGGGAAGAAGAACAGTTTAAGATTTAAGGGAGGAAATGAGGTGTGCGTCAGTGGTGGTAGCTATGGGGGAAGGAATAATAAAAAAAAAAAAATCTGGAGATGGAAGAAACAAATATTTGAAAGAAAGATTACCGTCACAGCTGCACAGAGCCGAGATGTGGAAAAGACAGAGTAAACAAGCTCGGTCTCTGGGGTGGTTGGGGGGTTTTGTGGGGGAGACAAAGAGAGAAAACGCCAGCATAAAACAAAACCAAGAGATGGAGCAGGAACAGGCGGAGGCAGAAGAAGAAAAAGAAAAAGGTGGTGGGGAAGAAGGAAAGAACGAGCTGGAGACTAAGGGGCCGCAAAACAACAGGCGATGAGTTTTACAGAGGAAAAAAGGGGGTAAAATGGAATTTCAAATAGCTGTGGAGAAAGGAATGAAAGCATAAATGAGTGGGTGTTGTGAGTGTGCGTGTTTGTGAGCACGACAAGCGCAAAGACGGAGTCAAGCTATGTGCGTGAAGCAGACGTGTTTATGTGTGTGGATGCATAAACGCACGGCTCTAAATGAGTACACAGTAGAACAAAAAGCAAAAAAATGCAGATTTTAAGCAGAGCAAGCTGTCTCACAAGGCTATTTAGAAAAAGGAGCAGCGACACTCAATGAGTCTAGCAAGCAATAGTACGGTAAAATAGCCAGTGCTCATCGAACCATTTTAATACCTTTGAGTATTTCCACCACTCATTTTGGAAGGCAGTTCGCTATTCTTGTGCAGCCCATGAGACTTAAAATCAAACACCGCATCTCAGGGACCCATATACAGTAACCGTTGTTTGTCTTCACTCACTAAAGAATGGGATGCATTCTACTCTTTCATTATCACTTCCCCTGGGATTTGGTCTTGCCATAGAAATATGCATAGAGACGTACATTTTCATCTCCAGATTTCATGTAGATTCTTTTAATTTTCATCCGTGTGGAAGAACTGTGGTTTTTCACCCAGACGGTGGCGGGCCAATGTGCAAGTCAATCATCACAATAAAATCCACTGCATGTCCACACCATACACTGCTGTGATCCAAGGAGAGCCGTGAATGCAGAGGCTGGCTTCAGCTACATCTCAACAAGTGTTTACTAATCCTGTCCCGCCAACGAATTCTACTGATTTGATCATGCTGCGGACAGAAAAAAATAAAATGAATTCATTTTTTATTTATATTTCACAGAATATGATATATATAAAACAAATACATTTTATTTTATAAAAAAACCTGAAAATATATAGATAAATGAACACAGCTTATTTTTTTGAGATGTATGTAATTTATTAAAATATATGTTTTATTAAGTTATCGTTTCAAGTGTTTACATTCACAATTGAGAAACATCAGAATGAGGAAAAAACTTTTTGTTAGGATCTTTTCATATTATTCACATTGTCTACACTTGAACATTGACAAGGCTACCACAATGCAGCAAGGTCGCACTCCTCTTATATAAGAGCTTGTGTCACAATGTGCAGACGAGTCAGAACCTTCGGCAGCTTCACTCTGTCCTTCCTCATAATTTCTTCTCGTCTTTCACTGGTTACAAATTTTCCATTTGCAAATTGATAAAAAACTTCATCCTGGGTGTCAGAATGCAACTTTAATTGGATGAAATATGAAAAAGGTAATCTGTGGAGGGATTTGAAAATTCTTTATGAATAATGTATGCTTTTCTGTATATTCACCAAATTAAATTTCTCCTTATGAATGAGCAAGTCACGTAAAACAGCACGGATGAATTATGCCCCCCCCCCCACCCCCCCGCTTCTGGATTAGTCTGTTTACAAGGGCAGATGTGACCAATAACTTTCTCTTTGGATTTTGAAAAGCACATTTATTTGTTTTGTGGCGAGTCTGTGTGTGTAAGTGCCTGTGTATATTGACATGTCCGTACTTGAGTTGGAGCTAAATGAAACCTTGATTTAATGTCGACTTGCTGCTGATCCCATAGACGTTTACACAACATACTAAACACACACCAAATCCAGTTGCATTTGAGGATTTCTTTCCCTTCAATATGACATTCAGGATACATTGTTACTATTTTAAATCAACCTTTCAAAGGCCACCCGACACTGTACCCCTCCCCACCCCGCCTCTCAGACCGCCGGGTTCTATCTTCCTCTTGTCCTCGGCCACTACAGTGAAATGAACTGCCATGGTTAATACTCCGACTGATCCCTCTCCTTCTGTCTCCACTGAGGGAGAAAGCGAGGACTGAAAGACGGTGCGAGAGACATAGGTGGAGAGAGGGGAAAACGAGACACAGCCACCCCAGAAGGCTGAGTTAGCTGTGACAGAGAGTGATGCCCACTTCCCCTCCCGCCGTCTCCCCCATCCTTTTCTCTCTTCATCACTTTTTAAACCCCCCTTCCAACTCCCCCAACCCCCCCGCCCCCGGTTCGCTTACTCCACAACCCCTCCGGATGATAATTCATCGATCTCCTTATCGCATCAGACGTCTTGATGGCCGTAGTAAAAAGAAATTAAATCTTAATTAAATTTTCATCTTAGACAAATTTGTCTCCGGAGAGCTGCCATATGCTCACTGGGTTTGGGGGGAAACATTGAGAGGGAAGGACACGCATTTTGCTGTCAGCCTTGTGCATTCTTTTCTATTCAGGTTAGGGTTATGGATTTTTCCCTGCGTTTATTACATTATGGATTTGTTCCCCTCCAAGACAAAGTATAATAATGCACTTTATACTAAGACGGTTTTTCATCACTTTTTTTTTTTTCCATCAGGGCAAAGGTAGGATGCGTTTGTGTGTCCTTGTGCAATACGTATGAATGTGTGTGTGTGTGTGTGTGTGTGTGTGTATAGGCTTTGCGGTACGGAGGTCTGGATGAACACCTGTGTGTGTTTGGGTGTGTGTGTGTGTGTATGTCCCCTTTTTTAATAATGTGCTGTCAATCTGAGCACTGGGAACGGCCATTTCACTAACCCGTCCTAAGTCTCATAACGCGGCCCCTCTGGGAGGGAGAATAAGTCGTCAGCCGGAGGTCCTCGAGGGCCGCAGAGAAAAGGCAGAAATCGCCGGCGATGCAATAAAATGGACTCGGCGGGATAAAACGTGGGCACACCTGAACTTCTAGCATTGTAGCTCTCTGCTGCTGCAACTCGCTCTCAGACCCGACACATACGCTGTCGCCTGGTCGGGGACCCTCGGTGTGACTGGGGGCACCTTGGCGTGTCGGAGGTTGAGGTAACGGAGATACTTCTCAGGCCTATGCTTCGGGTTGAAGAAGTACCACCTGCTTACGGCCTGCTGATGATACATTCTCTCCACACAAGCCAGTGTGAACAACGCACGGATATTAAAACACAAAGAAGGAAAGCGACGTCACCGAGGGCCACTAAACTAGCGCGTGTACGGAGTAACGTGTGACACGCTGTCCTTGTTTTGTTCGTACCGCAGGACGAGCAGCTGTTGCTTTCTTCTGCTGGGATTTGCAATAAATAATGAACAGCAATAGTTTGTTTTTTTCCCCAAATTGGCGATTATAATTCATGTCAAACGTTACGTGGCTTGTCAAAATCGTTCAAAGCAAGTTTACCCCGTGAAGCCCATATTTCGGAAAGAAGGGCTTTATGCAAAACCTTTTATTGTTAAATGTACTTTCTTCTCATAAAGTTTGCTTATACTCAGGATTGAGTCCAATTCAGAACCCCATCGTATCAGCACAAAGTTGCCATGAATTGCATTAAAAGAAATTGGTTCAACATATTTGCACCACGATGTCCGTCACTGTTTGTCCAAGCGCAGACTTTCAGGTTTGCAATACAGATTCATTTAGAAGAATAAAATAATATCACCAACACCATGAATTATGTACAATTATATATGATCATTTTAATAGCATTTTGATAGCATAATACCTCCTGCTCTGATATTACAGTGGAGACAACATTTGCTTATTTCTTGATGTCTGCAAGTCACTTTACTTTAAATGCAGACAAAACAGACTGGTGATTGAAAGCTGAAGTGAACTGAAGCCATGACCTGCACACTCAGTTAGTGCATGCAAGAGGAGACAGTGAGCACGGTCTTTCAAACCACTGACTGGGTGTTGTGGGTGTTTTGTAAAGGATAGTAAGACGATAGAATGAGTGAATTCAGAGTTATGTGCCGCTGCTGCCTCCGGGAAGCCTTTTCTAACACTTTGTATTGATGCACAGGTCAGGAAGAGGACGCAGGTGCAATACACCCACTGGACCTACTCAACACATGAACATCTGCAGTTTTTGTGCATTTCTCGTTGCTGACATGTATTGGTTTTAGACTGTAATTCAGTGTATAGTCCTGGTATATTTAGAGGCCGTGCATTGCTATTAAGCAACCAAGAACATTCTGTTCATGTTATAAACGCTTTGACGAAACGCAATTCACAGGACTTGATCACACCATTGACTTTTGTTCTCATTAAAACACTTGAAGCCTCACAACTCGATATCTCACGTGACGTGATGATTGCCAGACTATGAGGTTGCAGTTTTGATATCAGGCATTTATGAGATCATCTCGACAGTCCGACCAACGCTGCTGTGACACCTGCTGTGTCATGCCAACCTCTTCTTTAATTACTCAACTTGTCCTTGCTGAATTGTGTGTGTGTGTGTGTACTCACAGGTATTAGCTGTGCCTTTGGGGATGGGCAGGTAGGAGCCAGCACTCCACGCTCGCCCCTGGTAGCTCTTCTTACAGCGGCCACAGTCGGGCCCGGTGGTGTTGTGTTCACACTCGCAGCTCAACTTCTCTTTGTCATACACGCAGCTGTTGGCGTGAAGGTTGCACTTGCACCTGTCCAAGAGGGAGAAGGGTGGGAGAGGGGAAGTGGGGGGGTTGAAAGAGGACAATGGCGCCAACGTGAGTACATTTTTCTGCCGCTGAATGAACATCCGGCAGCTCTTATTTTGTTTGGACACGGAAGGGCAGCGTGTCCTTGACTAGCGGTGGCACTGGAACGCAGTCAGAGCCGCTTCCTCGACTTCAAGAGGAGCCGGTTCAAAGGGAAGGCAGGCGGTTGCGCGAACAAATCTGGCATCATTATTTCCTCGCTTCTCTTCTACCCCCCCCCCCCCCACCACCCCGACCCCTCCAATCGGGAAGGTAGTTCAGTTTTAATTGTCCCACTGGAGGATGTGTAATTGCCGTAAGGTCACAGTGGATGGGCGCGGGAGGAACGGGAGGGAGAGGGGGGACAAAGAGGTGCGAGGAGAGGCTGAGGGAAACAAGCCAAGTTAAATTGTGGAACCAGTGTGGGGAAAATGAAGTGTTCGCCCGGGCTTTTAGCTCAGTGAGGCGATGAATAGCTCGCAGTGAGCCAGAGGGCGGCATGGAGCATCAGCACGGCTGCGTTCGCCATGACAAATTAATGTGAGATGAGATCTCAGAAGCATATTTTCTAGTATGGAAAGAAGGACTCCCTCAAGGTGCACTAAATCCCTGCTCGCCAGAACCTGAACCATTAAACGAGAAGCTCAGCAAATTCAGTTTCCGCTGTACGGGACATCTATCTGTTCAATTAATTTATGATCCTCATGCAGCACAAAGTCCTCAGAGGAGTACGGAGAATTATAAGAACTATTTTAACACAACGTCGCAATGAACGCCAACTGCTCAAATACCGTCGTCTGGTCATCATCTCAAACTAGGACGCTGAAGGTGCTGCTTCCAAAACTACACGTTTTGGAATTTCAAAATAAACCTCTATGTTCACAGGAAACACAGTTCAGTCTCTTTTCAAAACAAACTTCCGACATAGATTGGAAGCTGGATCTGTACATGATCGGTCAGATGAAAAGCATCTACATGTTGTGTGTTCAGTGATCATTGTGTGTCCCATTTTGTAAGTGTGCTAGTGTCCGACTACCGAGACAAGAACCTGACCGGACTCTCTAACTGATGCTAATGCTGTAACGGGATATGAGACATCAACTTACAGCAGAAACTGTAAATCTGACTTTGGACACGCATGAGTCATCCTACAAATTTGGTCTATTTTAGGAGGAAATGCTGAGAGGCAGACGGTAAAAAAACACTGACTACTAATCCAATAAAATGGCATTAATATTGCTGATTTTGAGACAATTGCTGTGTTGAGGACTCCGGCGGCAGGGCCGCACTGGACGCCCCGGCGGGCCGGACTTGGCCCGCGAGTTTGACCTATGTGAGTTAGACACTGTTGATGGCGAGCCTCTGTCACAATGTGCTCATCCTCATCCAGAGGCAGAAGCATAATTAATGAAAGGACCACTCCTTGATCCTGACCCGTATCTGCTGTCTGCTGACCCGGGTTGGGGCCTGACATCTGGCTCCAGATCCTGCTGCAGAAAGACGACCAAAAAATTGCTCACGCTGCAATTTGCTCTTGAGAATTACTCACGAGTGCACTTTGTGAGCTTTTTGGAATTTTATATTACTTTCTCAACTAAGTACTTTGATTTGGGGGCATTCCTTATTTGAAAGTAGCTTAAGAAAGCTTTTAATGTATGCAAACGTAAGTAGGCCACACCTGCTGTATCGTGATGCCAGATACATGTTTAATCAGCACTTCATATCTCATGCTATCCCTCTCGTTTCCAGCTTGTAGCTACAGGGTGTGAGCAGCACACACTCACAACTGCACTTGTGTTCCTTTCGGATATAATAACATGAATTCTGCCAGGAAGCCTTGGTCAAGTTGGACACAAGTTGTTGTTTTTTAAATACGGGAGGACTCGTACAAACAGGGACAAAACAAATCACAAAGAGAAAACATACCGAACACAGCGGCAGACAGAAAACATGCAGGCGCAAGTGTATACTGGTATTTTGAAGGAAATAAAAGCGGAAACTATTTCAATGGAGTCACTAGAGGAATCCACTTTGAGGAGCTCCACTGTGAAATCCTTTTGTGACACGGGACGTAATCTTCAGCAGCCATCATACTAATACCCAGTCGACACTGAGGCCGACTGTAGCGGGATTGATTGAGAAAGAGTCCATGTCCATTAGCGGCTAAACTCAAGCCAGGATCACAATCGAGTCCCCTTTTCAAGGAGCTTTCTGTCCTTCTCAGTGTCTGAAAAAAGATCCGTGTGTGTGTGTGTGTGTGTGTATGTGTGAGTGTGGTTGGTAGAGGATGTGGTGAGGAACCACTTCACACGGAGCCCTTTGTGGTTTAACCTTCAGCTTCTTTTAACATGGCCAACATTTTAATCAGCATCCAGAAATGATAGCGCCAGCGGCATAATGATGGAGACCGCCAGTGAGGCCCCCGAGGGTCTCATATCCACCAGTGTTGTTTTGCTGCCAATCAGCAGTGGCTGCTGAATGAACCGGGGAAGGATTCCTTCCTGCTGCACGAGCAACAACAGCTTCAGCCAACGTGTATTTAACAGCATTTTAACTGGTTCTTTATCTCCTGTCACTTTGAAAGCTCTGTGGGTCGTCTCCTCCTGACTTCCCACGAGCCTTTATGCCGTTCTCTCCCCACGCCGCTCTTCTCCATCCACCTGCTGGTCTGTCTGTTAACTGCAGTATCTCTTATTAATTCATATTCATGAAGCGAAGGCATCTTTGTTTTTGTGTGGTGCTCTTAAAGTGATATTGCTTGAGGCGTTATTGAGGGGGCCCGACACCGCCTGTGAGCTAAAGGTCCTGAAATGTATTCGTAAAATTACCCACGGGGCTACGAGCTCAAATTGCTAGACTGGCAGAAAAAGAAGAAAAAAAAGGAGAGAAGGGGAAAAAGTTCTGATTCCTTTTTGTTTGATGGAAGGTGGCAAAAATTTTCATATCTGACAAGAGTTTAAAGTTCTCCTTGAAATGTGGGAGACAAACGATATTGTTGGGCTCAAATTTATTATTGTTCTTCATCTCAGTGGAAATACGAGGCCGCTGAGGCTTTGGCTTACCTGGAGCGGTGTGTCTGTGACCTCTGCAGTAATAGGATTCTGATTGACACCATGGGTGCACACGACATATTGCGCCTTTCCCTCTGATGATGCCGGCAACAAAAACAGAGCGACACAATGCTGTGTTTCTCAGTGAAAAATGGCCCTTTCCTCTCAATCACTCCAGCTATTATCTACAGCCGAGTTCACAGGACGACGTTGCTCCATTTCGCTCGTTGCGGCTTCAAAGCCGAGAGTATCAGCTGCTAATTGATGGTAATTATCCATAATCCAAGCCTACAACATCCCCGGCGCACAAAGCTGCTGATCCCAACAAATTGAGCGGACTAAACTCAACATGGTCCTTAAGTGGGTTAACTAAGTGAAGCAATTAAATTCCAATCTAACGCCCAGGTGTTTTCATAGACCAGCCAAATGGGTCAAACACTTTGTTCATGAACACTTTTTTTAAGCTGTCGGAGGGGGGGTGGGGGGGACAATGCACAGGCTGAATGATGAAAATGAAATGGAAACATAGGCTGTTAAAAAGGCTTGGCGTGTGACTGTGTGTGTGTGTGTGTGTGTGTGTGTGTGTGTGTGTGTGTGTGTGTGTGTGCGCCTGTAGCCGATTCGTTGTTAGTGGAATAGGTGATTACACAAAATGCACAGAATGAAAAGGAATGCACAATAATGCATTTATCCCACCTGATCTCCCTGAAAACCCGTTTGTCCCCATATGGAAGGCGAGTCCCCGCAATGTGACTTTTCTCACCGATTGTTGTCCCCTCAAGGTGGGTAAAACACACCCGCTCACACGCACACCTCTCCAGCGATGTAGCTCTTACCCACTGACACGTGGCGTTCAGCTGGCGTTTGTATTGGTTTAAAACAGATTAGCCTGTCTGCTAACGTGGTACCTGCTAATTGCCTCCCTTACCTCCCCGGCGGGTGGTGCATTGTGGGAAGTGAAAGGAGGGCGATATCTGCACTAGGTCCCATGGGATGGATCTCGGACCCCAACATCCCCCTAATTATATTCTTCTTTGCCCTCTGTCTCCTCTCACTGGAGAGTGGAAAGTTAAAGCAGAGGCTGTGAGAAAATTTTCTCTCATCTTCAATGTTTCAAGTTCCAGAAAAACATTTACAGCTGCTGCGCGAAGAGACATTGTGTCCACCGCACACACACATGCAGTTCAACTTAAATAAGATAAATAAATGCTAAATAATTTAATTGCTGAATTTATTGAGTTTTGTCAGAGGCGGAGCAGTTCAGTAAACAGTGTCGAGCTCCGCACCATCATACACTGTGAACAACGTTGCTGCCCACTTTAAGGTGCTAGGTACAGAGTACACAACTTTTACACGGATAGAAAACGCTGGCAGGCGGACACTACTGAGTATTTAGCAAATGTACGGAAATCACAATCATGTGTCACCCTCACTGAAAGTAAAAGACAAAGCAAGAACGATCATTAAGATTAAATTCCAGCAAGTATTTTAATATTATATATTTTAATGGATGTTTTGGCGAGCAGATGAGTTGATGTTTCACTTCATCTTCAAAATATTCAATTATAAATTTGAAAAATGATCTTGCAAAACGGAAATAGTATGAAAATATGAACCATGAGTAAGTACCCGGGATAACAGAGTAAAACTACTCTGTGATCTTTGCATTGCAAGTTAACTCCATCTCCGGTTTCCTGCTTTGAGGCAAATTGTCTGTCTGCCTGCATCAATCCGTCGGGGCCATCCATCTATCGAATCCTCAGCATTACTAATGAATGCAGTTGGACATGCTATCCAAGCAGGAGTCAATCAGGAGGTCTTTACTGCCTGTGACATGCCAGGCCTGTTCAATAGAATCGACATGCTGGGCCTCACTGATACCGCTCTCAGCTAAACACTATTGGCCGGTGAAAG